TATATTTAACACTACGAGATGCCGGAAGATATTTCACGGTCTTCCCGCAAGTCTTTCATCTTAGTGTTGAGTGGTCATCAGATCACCATGAGTCAGTGTTGCCTTTATTATAGTACTGATGTTTATCTTGCCCAGGTGGCTATTATATCTACATCGAGACGTCTTCTGGCTCATCCGGTAGTGTCGCCCGTGTGATCAGTCCTCTCGTTACTACAACAAGTGCCAAGTGTGTCCAGTTCTGGTACCACATGTACGGTAGGGACGTCAACAGGCTCCGGGTGTACATCAACACTGGCTCATCGCTTGGGAATCCGGTGTGGACTCTGACAGGAACACAGGGAAATCAGTGGAGGTCTGGGCAGGTAGACATTCCAGCAGGGACATCATTCAATGTGAGTAGAGATTAGTTTTTAGTGTGTGTGGATAGTCAGTAATCATTTTCTCACCATCGGCATATCAGGTTTATGTTTATATTTATGTTTATCAGGAATCTCCATTAGTAATACAAAGTTTGTTTACTAGTCTTCCTGGAGTCCTTTACATTTACCTTTATGAAATATAATCAATTACAAACTTAATTATATGCAAAACATCAGCTTAAATAGCAGTGTACAATAACAATCTTAACAACAATCTACTTGCTTATATGCACAACAATTAAAGCTAGCTTAAATTACATAATAAAATACAGTGGAGAGGTTAGAGGTCCCTATTTACACCATGTATATTACCACCATGTGTCGAGGCGCATGTGGTTGTACTTGTTACTCCACAATTTGATATTGTCTTTAAATGTGCGTTCGCTTCCTGATGTTATATCAGATGGTAGATTGTTGTATGATTTTATGCTTCTATATACAAATGTTCTGGTTCTAGCTTTAGTTTTGGGTTTGTCTAGGGTAAACGTCCCTCTTTGTGCAAGTCTTGTATGGTGTCTAGGTGTGGTTTCTATTTTCTGCAAGTGTTTGAAGATACATTTAGGTTGCTCTTTAGTTACAATTTGTGGAAGAGTACTGGTGAAAAGTCTTTGGTTGACTGTTTGCCAGTTTAACTGGGTGTTTATGTAGGTAGTTAAGTGTGGCGTCAAAAGTGGCGTTTGTGGCTAAACGAGCTGCACGATTTTGGATTACTTGTAGTTTATCTAGGTGTGTTGAATGTTGTAAATTGATGAACCCTTGTCCTGTTGGCATTTTTGTACACAATATCACGTCTTTATCAGGTCATATACTCCTGACTTTTTTACCCTGCCTTGACATAGTTACTTCCACATTCGTTGCGTTTTGCTGCGATGTGATGCGTTGCACGAGAAATACCCCCGGCGTACCTACTTCGGGTGCTACATATGGATAATACTGTATGTGCAACCCAACAATTGTTTGGCGCCACAGGACTAGGCTTTTAATGTAGTAATGACTAGATCTAGAAAACCATTAATGTCCATGTTAATTCGCCCATAGATTGTGTTTGAAGCAAGACGAGGATCTGGACCGTTTGGGGACATCTCGCTGGATGACATCTCTATTGTGGACAATAGCTGCCCACCTGGTAGGTTTGATATCATATAAAGGAAGAAACCTTTTAAAAAGCAGTGTTCTTGGAAAGGTAACGCATGGTAAGGGTTAACTCATGATCAAACAGCACACTTCTTTTTGAAAATGTACATTTATTTCATTACTTTTTTGTACAATCTCAGTGACACTTCTGTGACCAAGTCCTTACATTTATAGGACTTACATTCAAGGCAAACCAACTTAATGTAATTAGTTAATTTTTCCAGATTATAACTTTGCAATCTTGTACAAAATCTGCCTCTCTGGCCACTAGGAATACAGAGTCTTCTTTTAAATTCAACATCACCAACACTGCAGTACTTTTGAACTCAAACAGCACACTTATTTAGACATTATTTGTATTAAGTATTCTTTTTCCTTCCACACGTTTGGCGTTTCGTCTGAGAATATAAGCCTATTGGTGTCTTTTCATAATTTTCTTGATATACATCTTTAAAAAACACCCAAACGGAGGTATCGTTACCTTCGGCAGGGCGTTTATGTTTTCGGTAGCGTTACCTATATGTACATTACTCTAGTATATACATATATGTATATATGTCTAAAGCCTCGGCCACAACGGGCCGTACGTGCTTTTTGGTCGTACGTTTTTTTTTGGGGGGGAGGCCACGTCTGCTACGTTTTTCTGAAAACGTAGGGCGACCGGCCGAGGGAGTACGTCACTCGCAAGGTGTAAGTTTTGAGTTGTACGTGCTTACAACGTACGATCTTTGTACGATTGCCACGTTACCGCGTACAGGCCTTTCCTTACTCACTCGCACGTTATTAGTGCGTGCAGGTGCGATGACTTCTTCCTCACTAGCCGCCCTGTCGTCTTCCGCGGCCCGTTTCATTGGGTCTTGTCTGGTTGTAGCTGCAAATGCCTTCTTCTGTGCCTTGTTGCGAATCTTGGAGACGGGTTGGCAGTCGTCCGTCAAGTCATCTTTATATACTGAAGAAATCAGGTGCGTTGTATGTGCGGAGCACGGTGCACGTGTGTTCTGCCTAGTCATTATTGACATTGAGCAGGTGAATTGAAAAGTGCGGAGTAAGCTAGGAACACGCAACGTGCGCGGCACGCACGTGCTACGTGCGCTGTCCGTACAGCAATTGCCCATGAGAACAGTTCACGTTCACGGAGTCAGTGCGTTGCACGCGCGTCGCCCGTACTAGCACGTACGGGTGGTGAATCCGTAGACCGCACGCAGAAAAAGTAACGTTCTACATGCACTTTCGGCGTGTCTGCGTGCTCCCAAATCCGTAGGATTCCGTACGGAGGTGGTACTCACCACGCACGGATCCCCTACGTTTGCCCACGTTTTTGCACGTAGACAGCACTCAGAAGCACGTACGACGGATTGTGACCGAGGCTTTGTGTATGTGTGTGTGTGTGTGTGTGCGCGCGCGCGCGCGCGCGCGTGCGTAAAGGGTTAAATGGATTTTCAAAATGGAAGTTTCCACTTCAGACCCATTTAACTGTGACTTTGAGCTGGGCTTTTGTGGATGGAGACAGGCTCACGACGACAACTTTGACTGGAGCCGACGTCGTGGATCGACTCCTTCCACCAGCACCGGGCCGAGTGCTGACCACACCACTGGAGGTAAGTTTTATTTACAATGGTCAAAAGTGGGCTAATACCAAATTGTTTCTAAAAGTACTGGAACAGAAAAAAAAAAACAATCTTGTACAGCAGGCTAGCCTTCCCGCGTGTATCTGATCGTCATGAAGTCAAGTCGGTTTGAGAGTTTTACCTGTATGTAGGAGCAAACGAAATGTTTTAGCGCACCCGACCAGTACTCTGTGACCTTTTCACTTTTCTTTTCGCGTTCCGTAAATAACAGCACAAGGAATGATATAAATTGGGGTAGGGAAAGAGATGTCGGGAATAAAAGCTGTACATGCGTGTGTATACAATTTATATACACACACACACACACACACAAACACACACATACATATTACATATTACATATATATGCATATTACATATTTCGTAGAGTATATATATACTCTACGAAATGACGCAATATATTTCAAGGTTTAACGGCAAGTCCTTCATCTTGGTGTTGAGTTAAAGCCATTCACTGCTCAATGATCACCAGATCACCATGAGTCAGTGTTGCCTTTATTATAATACTGATGTTTGTCTTGCCCAGGTGGCTATTATATCTACATCGAGACGTCTTCTGGCTCATCCGGTAGTGTCGCCCGTGTGATCAGTCCTCTCGTTACTACAACAAGTGCCAAGTGTGTCCAGTTCTGGTACCACATGTACGGTAGGGACGTCAACAGGCTCCGGGTGTACATCAACACTGGCTCATCGCTTGGGAATCCTGTGTGGACTCTGACAGGAACACAGGGAAATCAGTGGAAGTTTGGGCAGGTAGACATTCCAGCAGGGACATCATTCAATGTAAGTAAAGATTGGTTCTGCGTGACTATGAGCCTGTATGTGTTTTCTGTATGGTTGTTGGCACGTGTTTGTGTGTGTTTGTGTGTGTGTATGTTCAGTAATCATTTTCTCACCATGGGCATCCCGTTGAATGTTGTAACTTGATGAACCCTTGTCCTGTTGGCATTTTTTACACAACATCATGTCTTTATCAGGTCATACACCCCTGACTTTTTGGCCCTGCGGTAGTTACTTTCACATTCGTTGCGCTTTGCTGCGGTGTGATGCGTTGCATGAGAAATACCCTGAAGCACACCTACTTCGGGTGCTACATATGGATAATACTGTATGAATGAATGAATGAATGAATGAATGAATGAATGAATGAATGAAACTTTATTTTCGTGTCGTGCGCATACCACGCCCAGCCCGTGTGGGCTTATACGACACCGTTTGAGAATAAATAATACATAAACAACAGAGAAACAGAGGTACAGAATCCAAACAAAATGTGAACACAAATAAAGTTAGGCTATATACAATTAAGCAGAACAGAGTGAACTCATAACAGATCATAAATGCAAATAAACAAATCTGTACATAAACTTGATAAAGAACCAAGATTTCACAAAATAAATACAAGTACATAAGGTAAATCAAATATAAATAAGAGAAAACAAATGTGTAGAAGTAACAAAAGGTGAGAACTGTTGATGTGTTATGAATACAGGTATTTTCTTCTTTTCCCCCACGCTCGATAAATGAAAGTTGCTAGGTCAGATACACCCTCGTTAAAGAGCCACTTAATTCTATTTTCATCTCTTTCCCATATGATGTCAGGTGATTTTGTATAAATTTTACGAAACATATTTTCTCGAAGATCGTCATAAAAGGGACAGTAAAAAAGAAAATGTGTTTCGTTTTCTACTTCATCCAGGTCACACATGGTACACATTCTACTTTCCTCAGGAATTCCCTGGTACCGTCCAGTTTCAATATTGATAGGTAAAATACCAGCTCGCAGCTGCGCACACAATGATCTTTGGCGTTTGGGGAGACACATAGTTACATATTTTTCTATACAGTAAGTATCTTTAAACAGAGCATATGTTCTAAGTTTAGGTTTCAAAAGTACTTTGGTTGCCCAGTCTTGCTTGTATAAGTCAAAAAGCTTCCCTTTAATTTGCCTAATGTCACCCCTCAATGTGTTAAGATAAACATGTTCTTGCTCAACTTTACAGAATATATCCTGGACATTTCTACTCATTTCTACTTCTACACATGTGTGTGTGCATGTGTGCATGTGTGTGTGTGTGTGTGTGTGTGTGTGTGTGTGTGTGTGTGTGTG